TTTACTCCAACATTCCTACCACATATATACAGCATAATAGTCTATTATTTATGACTATCAGTTTTGAGAGTATTTCTACATTTTTTTACTTTGATTAAAATTCTATAAATTAAATAACAAAATAATAATTGACTAACAATAAACAATGATTAGTTCCTAGAAGCTTGATTTGATGTTAAATTGTTAGAGTTAATTATCTGATGGCTCGAAATGTAAGTTTCTTACAGTATCAAGGTGGATCTACCACTGTTTGGGTCAGTCAAAATGACAATCACAGACGTCAACATTGTAATGTTTACATGAAATCATTTGGTTTAAAAGATTTATTATAAACTTTATCGATAAAGTTTGATGAACTCTATAAATTAGACAGTATTATCCATGGTTACAATGTAAACTTGCATGTTGTCTTAAACATCTAAAGATATCATTTACCATTCTGACTATTTAGTAATAATAATAATAATAAACACTCCACCCTTCATCTATGTATATAATAAAGAACTAGCAATATCGTCAATTTGTAGTTTCTTTTACAATTCAGAACGAGTAATTACCTGTACATGAAATAAACTAACTTTGCTAACGCTTAATTAAGTCAGATTTGAATTAGTTTGTTCATTCGAAATATATATTTTGTTTAAATTAATTGAGAAATAAAATTCAAATGTATCTTATTTGTGTATTTTTTCTTCTTTAAAAATCAATAAGATTTAGTTACTAAGATTGTTTGTGAATAGGATAAGTCAAATATTACCAGATTATTATAACACTTGTAACTTACCAGATATTTATGTATATATAAGACATAGTAACATGTTAAAACCAGTATCAAACAGTAATGTATTTAATGAACCTTTTTTGCTGTTTTGATCATTTCAACTGTTGATTTAACCGTTTAGAAACTAATATCGATTATTTGTTGACTTAGATCTTCAGCTACTAGTGGTATTATTATTATTATCAACTTCATATATTTCCTTTTTTGCCACACATAATCATACTCATTGTATATTAATGGAAAAGATTGTTTCTGATTGTACAATGATAGCGCTTCATTGAATATAGTCAATTAAAGCAAATTAAATGTTATTTCATTTTTACAAGTTAGAAAAACAAATAGAATTATATAAAATGGACAGTGTCTGAGGGAGGGGAGGTTGAAAGAATCATTGTGAATCGGAAATCAATGGGAAAATGTTTTCTTATGACCAAGAAATTATAAAATCAATTTGAATTTTAAGTATGCATTGCTGATAGACTCAATCCCTGGTCGGGGCGTGGATGGTCATGGTTAGAGCATCTCCTACCGGTATAAAGAAATTTTCCTACTGCTTATTTATAACCAACGGATGTAAAATATCAAATTTTAGATCGATACATGATATACTGAAGAAAATGTATATTTTCTGTGACTATGTAATGATAATGATGCAGCTTAGTTATATATTTGATTTTTCAGGCACATAATTTCCTGACTGAATGAATTTCCTGGCTGTTTGAACAAAAGTAGACAACACAGCAATTGAAGGCGACTGCTACCGCTACAATAACCTTTCGTATTCTCCATTATACTATACATCAATATTTGTATATCATTATCAAACAAATGCTAACATATTTATTTGTTCTAGATATTCATTTTGTACGTAAAATATGATAATACACTTTCGATAGATCCCCTTATTGAAAATAATCATATGCTCACTAATGGCTAGTTTCAAGATGGGTTTCCTGGAGTTCTAGTGAGAAGCTATGACTAATAAAGTTCAATTCGTGTCGGGTGGGAAACAGTTATCCACCTCAGACAATAGATGGATAGTTGCACAAGATCATGGATCGACTGAAGTTAGATATTAACACCGTTGGATACCGGTTCAGTGGTCTAGAGGTTGTGTTCGAGGGCGAGACTGAAGGTCCTGGGTTAATGTCCCGTGTGCGGGATCTTGTATGCACAATGCTGAGGAGTCCCATACTAGGACGAAGTGGCTGTCCAGCACTTTGAGATTCTCAATGGTGGATTCAACTGGTAAAAAAACTAATCTTCAATCAACTTTTTTTAAAATAAAACTTCTTTCAAGACTTTTTCTAGTATTCATAATGTTGTTAATCAAAATGAAGGTAAAAAACATATATACGTGCTCATTTACATTGTTTGACCATACTTTCTCTTGAGAAAATAAAATATAACTCTGACTGACTGTGTCTGGCATTATCAACAATTTACAAACCATGTTAAAATTGAATGAAGCTTGAATCTACAGCTTAATGTTATATCATCATCCCCAATTTTCAAACAACTTAGACAGAAAATAATGACATCATCTACTTAGAAACCAAGTATAAGTTATCATATTAAAATCATAGATTGATCTGAGTTGGACAGACATCTAAAACCTGGAAACACTGGATAGTAACTCCTCAGCAGTGTACATCTGCGAAACTGTAAGCGGGAGTCGAACCCAGGTCCATCAGTCTTGAGCGCGGACCCAAATCCTCTAAACCGGCATCAAAATGTGTTAATGTCTACGTTTAACCAATCCAACTCATTTTACGACCATTTTCTATTGTCTTTGGTGGGCGACTCCCGATACTATTTAGCCTCACTAGTCACGGCTTCTTACTACAACTCCGTGAACTTACTTTCGAAGCTAGTCTCTAGTGAGCACATAATTGTCAATATGGAGTTGTGCAAGTTGTTATATTTTATTGAATTCATGAATCTATGGTGGTCTAAGTTAAATTAGTTCATGATTTCAACCTCCTTACTAAAGTTTATTGGTAAGGAATACCAATTAACTACTCACATCCATATTGTATCGGTTTCTTGAACTTGGAATGGGGCATCGTTAAAAATACAAAATATTTTAAAACTACTTAAACTACTAGTTCAGTCTTATTTTACTGACATAAAGTTATTCCTTAAAACTTGAACTCTGATGTTTTTGGTATCCGTTTTTTTCAACACCTTTTGAATCAATAATCCAAGTACACTAAAATGACCTATTGATAAGTAATCGATTACAAGTTAATTTAAAAAAAACCAAATTTACAACCAAACAACAAAAAATATGAAAAACATAATTTAAATTTGGTTACTAAGGTTAGATTTCTTTTTTACTTGGAGACAAAAAAAGTGAGCTCAGCTCAAGTGTAAGTTTAGTTGACCCTTTCCTTTTTAAATGCCTACACAGTGAGAGTTTCATGGAGTGATCAAATCATAACTTTGTTAGTAATATCTTACGTAAGAATCTAATCGTTGTTGATAAGACGTTCTATGTTTGGAGATAGTAACTAAATAATGCAATACGATCTATTACGTAATTTGCATGTCTCCAAACTACTCACAGTTGCGTAATCCATGTAATTTAACAACAAGTGACTATCACTCATCGCTCATGACGGGACTAATTCAAATGAACTGAGATTGATACATATGCATACAGTAGTGTTTGTAGACCATTCAATAAAGAATAATTGAGGTTAACTAAATCCCTTAATATGTGTTCAAAGTTTAGCTCTTAATAGCTACACGACAAACGTATTTGATAACCATATAGTTGCAGTTAATTTTCAATGAATGTTTGTGACTCGTAACATTATGATCTGGTCAGCAACTTAAAAGTGTAATCAAATCAATAGTATGAGAAAGGATTACTTTATTAGGTTTTGTCTTTTACATCTTAACAAATCTATTATTTACCTAATCAAATATCTATGCGCCACACCTCATCATCTGATATGTGTAAGAGCTGGAATACTGCTCGGGCCTCCAAACTAAAGCAGGTGGGTTTCTTATGGGGCCACTCTCCGAGCCTTCGGCCTAAAAGTTTAATCGAGAAGGTAGTGGAACAATGCTAGGAGATATAGTCCTTTGGTAGCTGGTGACCAACAATAGATTCATACTCCAATCGCTCACTCAGGATCTCGGAGCACATATGCAGGATTTTTCAACTACTCCATACCGCCGCACATTGACGTTTTGCCCTCTCAATTTCGTAAACAACACCCCGTTTGCGAGAAAGCAGTGAGTAGGAATCTCTGGAAATCACTGTATACGCGTGGTCAATATGAAAGCATTTGAGAGGGAGAGCTGACTATTCAACCTCGAATGTACCAGGGGATTTGGTGAATTTAGTCTTCTTAAAAAATGTGCTGATCAAAACTGAAAGTGTACTTCTTACATATTTGACAGTTGCTTAGTAAGTTTGTATGAAGATCACCAACGAAAAGGTTGATATTTGATGATATAGAAGTAAGTTTGCCGTGGAACATCAATTTCACCAAAAATACAAGTATGCTTTACATATAAATACCTGATTACACGAAATCTAATTTCAGAATATACAGTCCATTACCTCCAACTATTTAATATGGTTTAATTATATTAGTCAATATATTTCGTGATAGTTTTAAGAAGTTCATTTCAAAACCCTATTAATTCGAAAAATTCCTTTAACTGAGATGTTCTAACTTGTAGCATTTGTTGACAATTCATGAATAAACAATAAACGATCTTCACAATACTCACCACCACTACTACGATCATTTTCATAACTAACATTTTAACATAATAAAGACAGTTTCATCTTAGCATGTGACTATAAACATGTGAATATTGAATAAAAATACTTTTTGGGATTACAAACCGAAGTCATTAGGTAATTGCTTCGCCTTAGCATGTGACTCCTCACTTATGCGCGTCACGACTTCGTTGCGGATTAAACCGAAGAAATTCAAGTCTCACCACCTGCGCTTAACGTTTTTAGTCAACGATTAATATGGAATCGGAAGCATATGTATTATATACATATATAGGCTTAAGTTATAAGCGTCATAAGCAAAGTTGGTTTGTGGCTAGCAGTGGGATCCATGACATACGTTTCGTCCTACTTGGGTCTCGTCAGTTGTATGTGCCTGCTACTCAAAGTCCCTAAGTGAGCATCTTTGCTTATTGTGCTTGTGTCTTAAATTATTATTTAAAAATTTCATTAACTCACTATTTTCACAATTTTTGTCAATTAAATCTTCGTCATTATTGACTTTCAACATATTTGATGTTTCATATAAATTATTAACAGATTTATTTTTGTTTATATCTTCTTGTGATCTTGTATTAAAATCATAATTGCTTGTTGATTTTCGTTTTAAATTTTTCTGACTACAATGATTACTATGAATAGTATCGGTAGGAGTATCCGAAATAGATGATGTAATCACAGACGATACAGTAGAAAAGGAATTTTTAACAGTTGTAGCTGTTAAAGTTATACATGGTGCATTGACATTATTACTATTCATATGAGATGAAAATAAAGCATTACTTATGTGTAAATTAGTAGTGTTTGTATTCATGGTAACTAATGGTGAAGATGATGGAAGTGATATCTGAGATTCAGTAATAAATGAAGGGAATGTATTTGACAATCTTGACTCTGACATGATGTTCGATTCTCCTTGACTATGTTGTTGTTGTTGATGGTAATAATGAGATGGTGCACCAGTTGGTGAATAGGGTGGGAAAATTGACAAATTATATGTGGGATTATTTGAAGGATGTGAATATCGAAATGTTGTATTGCACATATATCGATCATAATAATTCGATAAGTGATTATCATTATTAATAGTAGTAGTAGCATTAGTAGAGCTATAAGTAGTACTTGTATTATGATGATGAGATGAATGATAAGGAAATATTGGATAAGAATTGAGTTTATGCCAAAAATTATAATTTGAAACATTTGGTACATGTTCTAACGAATGATTATGCATTGATTGTGTATGAATAGTATCATTTACATTGAATTGACGATTCATATCATTATTTATTTCATTATTTTCAGCACGTAGATCACATGGTATAATAGAATTTGTACTATTACAATTTCTAGATGAATCATATTCATTTGTATGTTGTACATTATCTAATTTTAAACGTTTCATTGACATTTCATTAGATAATTGATTTAAATGTTTTGATTCATTAACTAATGAAAAATTATTCAATTGTTCTATTTGTGAAGTTAATTGTTCATTTAACATAGGTGTTGTTGTTGTTGTTGTCGCCGCTGTTGATAAATCATTATTAGAATTATAATGAAAGAATGAACTAGCAACTGGATATGATAATTTTGATGTATTATTATTATTATTAATTTGTGAATAATAATTTGTATACATTGGATTTGTATTCATTAATTTAGAAAATCCCAAATCCATTTTGTTTTAGTGTATTTTTATAAAATAGATCATATTCATATTACTTGAATAAACAATTTTAGTCGCTTTGAAATGGTAAATATGGAATTTCTATTTAAATAATAATGATAATAATTTTTTTAATTATATGAATATAAACCTCATTAAGTTTATAAAAAAAATTTTTCTCAGCCAATCATTAATCTTGAAATTAATTAACCAATAGGAATATTCCTTTATTTTGTATCGCGTTAAATACATTCATACTATTGGTTGATTTGATGTTTTATATCTCCCTTACATGAAATATTCAATATAATGATTGAATATCATCTGTGAATATTTAAATATTATTTCTGTATAGAAGATGATGATATATATACAACAGATTGTTAACATCAAAGAAAAAAAATATATATAATGAACATTCATAATTATTGATAGGTCCGGTGTTCGAATCTCTCGAGGCGGGATCTTAGATGCGCACTGCTGAGGAGTTCTATACTAGGTTTTCCATGGTGATCTAGCTTCAGTTGACTAATAAATTTAACTATTAAATCTACAAATGAATTCAGAGTGAATTCTTAACATTGAAGTTTCAATGAGTAAATAAGTTATTTTAATATATTTTTTTTGGGTAATATCTTGGAAATATATTTAATATTATATTATCTGACTGTTTTCTATTTTAAGCTTGTATACTCAGATGTAAGTACTTTGGCGAGTTAACGTTTTTTTAGCGAGTTAGTTTCCTACGTTTTGGGGTCGCTAACCCCATGCTCAACCCTCCTCTTTTATCCTTGCTTGAGACCGGCAGTAGCCCCCGGAGGGACTCCAGGCGGAGTTATGTAAGTAAGTTGCGTTAGAATAAACAACAAGCTTTCACACTAAACGATATTAATATTATATTCTTTATGAACTAAGATTCAAAGAGCATAAAAAAATAATAATAATAAACATTATTTAACTGATCAATAATGAAAAACTAAATATTGTCCAAAAATCAACACCTCTTTGATCATAAATCATGAAATGAGCGAATTCGGATTAATCAGGCAATTCAGGTGAAATTTAGTGAAAATTTAAGGTCAAAACAATACATGACACACATACATAGATAGATATTCACATAACATTGATAAAATATGATGTTGACAGTGAATTATCTAAGTGATAATATTTAATAATTTATTCATTATAAATTTATTACTGTCATTGTTTTTTTATATCCACTTGTTACGTATTGAGTTTGTGTGACTTAACGAAAACTTGATAGTTGAGTTCATGAGTCATATGAAGCTAGACCACCATGGAAAATCTGGAAGCACTGGATGGTCACTTCGTCCTAGAGTGGGACTCGTCAGCAGTACGCACCCACGATCCAACGAAAATTAGCAACACCATCATTTGATTTCAAGTGATCATTTGAAATCATGAACATTAAGCACTAAACACAGAATTATCTATCTATCTATCTATCTATCTATCTATCTATCTATCTATCTATCTATCTATCTATCTATCTATCTATCTATCTATCTATCTATCTATCTATCTATCTATCTATCTATCTATCTATCTATCTATCTATCTATCTATCTATCTATCTATCTATCTATCTATCTATCTATCTATCTATCTATCTATCTATCTATCTATCTATCTATCTATCTATCTATCTATCTATCTATCTATCTATCTATCTATCTATCTATCTATCTATCTATCTATCTATCTATCTATCTATCTATCTATCTATCTATCTATCTATCTATCTATCTATCTATCTATCTATCTATCTATCTATCTATCTATCTATCTATCTATCTATCTATCTATCTATCTATCTATCTATCTATCTATCTATCTATCTATCTATCTATCTATCTATCTATCTATCTATCTATCTATCTATCTATCTATCTATCTATCTATCTATCTATCTATCTATCTATCTATCTATCTATCTATCTATCTATCTATCTATCTATCTATCTATCTATCTATCTATCTATCTATCTATCTATCTATCTATCTATCTATCTATCTATCTATCTATCTATCTATCTATCTATCTATCTATCTATCTATCTATCTATCTATCTATCTATCTATCTATCTATCTATCTATCTATCTATCTATCTATCTATCTATCTATCTATCTATCTATCTATCTATCTATCTATCTATCTATCTATCTATCTATCTATCTATCTATCTATCTATCTATCTATCTATCTATCTATCTATCTATCTATCTATCTATCTATCTATCTATCTATCTATCTATCTATCTATTCACACATCTCTCTCTCTAAGTATGGTTTTGTCAGTCTTTCTTCTTTGATATTTTTCTTTGAAGCACCGAATCATCTGTGGTTTTGCTCAAGTAATCTATAATATTATTTTATCAATCACTCAGTAACCGTTTTCTATGTCATATTCTTAATAATCGAAATAATAATCTATTAATTTTAACTAATAAGAATGTACTCTGCAATATCTAACATTTTGTGATCATTGTCATCAAAAAATTACCGATTTCATCAAATTACCCATATGATGTTGTATACTGGAATCGAGGAAGATATATTCTTTAATATTAGGTTTTTGGAGGCTGTCGTCAGTATAAATGTTTCATATGCATCTTATTAGCATTTATCATATCAGTTTATATTCAAAAATTAATTCGGAATCATTCATCTATTCATATTTGACTTAGTCTCTTTTAGGAATGAACAATTGGATGTTAAAGGTGATACGATTCATTTTCGTTCAACAAATTTTCCCGTTGTTATCCATTCCACAATTCCTTGTTTATATACATTTTATAAAAAACCTTATGATTGGATATAGTCAACAGTTGGCTATGAGCTATTACAGGTTATGGATTAGTGACCTATAATCTTCCAGCCGAAAACAACTAATATCGATAGTGTACCACAACGGTTAATTACACATAATTAAGCATACTAAGAACTAATAAGATGGTCGCACGATGTCGTGGATTGTTTGAAGTTTGATATTATCACTATCGACTACCGACTCAGTGGTCTACAGGTTAAGCGCTCGCGCGCAAGAAAGAAGATCCTGGATTGGATTCTCACGTGCGGGACTGTATATGTACACTACTGAAGAGTTCCATACTGGAACAAAACGATCATCTAATGTTTTTAGGTTTCGAATGGTCGTCTAACTTAGATCAATTTATGATCTAAATGAATTGCATGCCACCAAGTATGATAATTTGCTAACAACTGATCAGTTTAACGTATTCATTGTATTTAGATGATAAAATGAAGAGTTCAACTGACCTTTTATCATAACCTAGTGGAATCATCACACTAATGGTTGACTCTGATATACATACATAATTATGAATAATATTGTCTTATCTAGTTTGAATCAATTGATATCACAGTATTAATAAAAATGCAAAATCAAGTTAGAGTGAAAATTGATCAGTATGTTTATGTAAATATGTGTTCTCATTGTAAGTTATAGACTAATTGACGGAAAATACTACTTATTTCAAATTATATAAGTCTGATTGTTGAAATGTGGTGTATTCAGACATAGTTTTGCTCATTTTGATCATTAAATAAATCTATATCAAGAGTCTTTGTTTTCTTACGACACATTTACGCATTCGGAATCCCAGTACAATGTACAAGACAGTTAATTGTTCATAATAATGACAAAAATAACATAACTCTACTAATTTACAGTTTAAACAATCAACATTGATGAACTCAACAAAAAAAATTATCATTGTAGATGAGAAAAAAAATGAACTAGTGATCAACTTGATGTTGTTATAGCAACTGACAATATAACACATTAGTCATGTAATTTCATATGGATACATACATTACTAAATACACATATACACAAATAAGTGTAAATAAATGTTGACTTGTTCACACTAACGAATTTCAGTAGTCAACTCATTCTTTTCTCTTTTTTTTAATATAAGAAACAATAGTAATGTTTGTATTTTTATAAAAGAGATATTGTTTAATACAGCGTTATTTTTATTCATACAGTTTGTAAGTATTTGCGTGTGTGTTTATGTGTCAATGAGAGAGTGAGAGTGAAATTATGGTTAAGTAAATCTGCATGTACATCATTGTTAGTTTTTAACAAATGACACCATCAATAATAATCAAAAAATCACGTAAGATTAAGTTTAATTAAACAATGTGCTAATTTGTATGTTTATGAATGTTTATGTTGACATGTAGATGTACATATGAACGAGTGCTTGGAATCGTATGATTTTATAAAGAAAGAATAATTTGAATATTGTACAGTTAGATAGTTTATGTTGATAGTTATTCTATGGTTTCATCTGGAAGAATAGAAAAGATCAAATTAGCAAGTTCATTCTACGTTAAAGACTATTCAATAAGCTTACAGCAAACACTTCATAGACATTCACTGAAATTCATTAAAAATAAATCTTTTTGATTGAGATCATGAACTGATTAACGTTAGACCACCGTTGGAAATTTGAAAGTACTGGACAGCCGTTTCTTCTTACAAAGGAACTCCTCAGTATTACGCATCCACGATCCCACTTGCGGGATTCGAACCCAGGGCTTTTAGTCTCGCGCGCGAACGCTCAACCTACTGGACCACTGAGCCGGCATTCAATGGTGTTAGTGTCTAACATCAACCAATTCACGAAATTGAGCGACCATCTTCCATTGTACTGAGGTAGATAATTGTCTCTACCCGAAACCGATTAGCTCTTTAGAACTCCGAGAATTCCCTCACGAAGTTAATCGATAGTGAGCACATGTTAATTACCAGTATAGGGGTTGTCGAGATTATTAAGTTTTTGATTGAGATAATGAACCGATTGATGTTGGACCACCGTTGGAAATTTGAAAGTACTGGACGGTCGTCTCGTCCTATTGTGGGACTCCTCAACAGTTCATAATAGATATTGTCATTGATTAACTACTGAATACTAACTAGTGTCACGTTGATAAAGTCTTTTTCTAAAAAGTTTGAA